AGTGAGTGGCTTGCTCGGGACAAGAGAGGGCTTGGGAAAATGAGATCCAGGGCTTGAGGATACCAGGGCTGGAAGAGAAGAGCTACGGTGGTGTCGCGTGGCTGGATTTTTAAAAGAGCTGAGCAGAAGTTTAACGTAGCTTTGCAGAACTAGGAGCAGATGGTGAACGATGGCTTGTGCCTGAGAAAGGGGAAACGCTGGGAAATCACTCGCTAGCAATGATAAAACGCCAAGGAAACCTTATTACCCGGATACGGGGCCTGACCGCAGCTCCAGCATCCCAGTCGGACGGAGCGGAGCAACTCAGTCTGCGCCGGCGCTCACAGCTGCATCAGGTCAGGGCAGCGGGAAGCCGAGGACAGGGGCTGAAGTGGGGGACAGTTGCAGGGACAACGCTTTGGGATGTCCCAAAGGCCACGCGGGATGCCTGCGGCAAGGGATGCTTTCGGGCACTTGCCGCATCCCCTGGGCAGCACCGGCGAGGACTCCAAAAGGCATTTCCAACATCGGCTTCGCACACGCAAAGCAGCAAGAGTAGAAGACACCTGCAAGGAAAACACCAAAAACGGGGCAATAAACAACAGAGACATTTCCAAATTTTCAGCAATCCCGAGCAATAAACCAGCAGCCTCAGCAGCGGCCTTTGGCACTGGCGTCTGGGGAGATGCCACCATTGGTGGACCCCATCACCCCCAGCCTGTGACCGACCACATCTCAAAGCCCACCAGCCGTCCCGATGATTTATTCGGCTGTTCAGCACACACAGGTTTAGCCCTTCAATGCAAACAATACGGCCCAGGGAGGCGAGATCCCCTAAGCCACGGGGTGAGTCAGGGCCAAGGCAGGACACCTCCTCAGGACTCACCCCTGCCTCCCTGCTGCAACCTCTCAGCCCCGCTCCCGACCTACAGGTATTCGTGCACGGCTGCGGCACGACAGGTAAACACGGCTTCGGTTATAACATCACCCAACACCAAAGCCAGGACGAGCACCGTTTACTTATACGCCGGTAAAGGCGCGCAGCGGTCCCTGGGTGCCCCCCTCCGCAGGGCACCCCGGCCGTCCCGGCACGATGCCCCGCGCCCCGGCACAGAGCAGCGATATTTTCCTTTCTCAGTCTAAAGTCCTCGCTAGGGAAACGCGCTTGTGACTCCATCTGCACAACAACGTTATCAGTGCAAAGTGCACAAACGCGTTGAGTCGGACCTAAAATAAACACGTCCCGGGCCGGGCCACGAAACTACCTCATGTTGCATTTGTTGGGCTGCTTTCTGCATCTCTAAGCCACGGATGAGCCTTATTTTCAGGCAGGAGTGCTGCAGGGGGGGTCATTGACTTTGGGCATCAGAAGTCAACTGGCCGCGCAAGCCTTCGGCCATGGCAGCGGGATGCGGCATGGGTGCGGGGATTCATGGCGGGCAGCAGGGCGAGCGGCGCAGCGGCGGCCTCCCCTGCATTTCCCGGGGTGGCTGCAGCGGCAGAGGCACCAGAGGCACCGCAGCGGGCGGGAGGCCTGAATGTGGCTCGGGGACTGCTCACACGATGGCAGCATCGCAGCACGCTGCAGCGGCGACGCAGCAGGAACTCGGCCGACATGCAAGGGGGACGCAGCAGCCATGCAGCGGGGACAGGCTCCTGCAGCCCCGGCATGCCTGTCCCCCACTGCTGGGGAAACGCAGGTCCGGGGAGGGCACGAAGCCACCAAGGAGACACCCAGGACATCATCCATGGACCGCAAGGGACCAAGCCCGCTCCGCTCGCCCCGGCTGCAACCAGCTCTGGCACAGAAGACGACACCCGTTTCCCCCTCCCCAGGGACACGCGTGGGCCCCGGGAGACCCAGAGTCCCCACGGCACAGGGACGCGCTCCTGCTAGCACCAGCGAGCTGCAGAAGCCACACGGGGACCGGTGTTGCACCCACAGCTCCGAAGCTGCTGAAGGGCACCCAGAGATTTTAAAGCCACGGGTGGGGTGGGCGAGCACCCGCACCCCGTCCCTTGCACGCTGCAAGCGAAGGCCAGAAACAGATATTTGCAGGGAACCGCTCCAAGCACGGCAAACACTGCCACGGTCTGCACCCGGCTTATCTCCGCCACCCTCAATAGCTACGCTTCAGTGCAATGCTTAATTCTCACTCCGGTGACAGAGCTGCGTAGCCAGCTGGCTCTAGTTATTCTTCTTTCCCCC